TATAAACTTGAAAAAAAATATATATATATATATAAAATAAAATAAATGGTTTTTTAAAAGATTTCAGAAGAAGAAAAAATAGAGTCAATTTCAAAGATGGCTGTCCTATTAAGAAGCTATGTAGAAGGCTTTTTTGTGTTTGGGGTCATTTACAAATGGCTTAAACATTGTCCAGCTATCATAGAGTAAATCTGAAAAAGCTGATTTTAAGCCTTTGTTTTAGGAGAATGAGAGTAGCCCTGTTGCTATGTGAAGATCTTAAGATAATACTGAAAATAAGCAGAGTGCCTTCAACCAAAATATTAAGCATACTTCATTTAGCTGAAGAAGACAGAAAGGGGTGAATGTGCTGAGACAGTTCCAGTAAGTGAAGGGTGTGAAGAATGTGAGTCTCTGCTTTAGAATACTCAAGTTCGGGCAGCAGGTTCAGTGGTAACACAACTGGAACCTCATGACCAAGGTCCTGGGTTTGCAACTTGGAACCCTTCCGAACACACTAGGCACAAGCACATGCATGTCCATGATCTGGACCAGAAGGAATTGGGGTTGGATTGTAGTACAGAGACCTGAATCTTTACCTAACTTAATTTTTCCTTTTAACATTCATTGCTACCTACTCTATCCTGTATATTTTATTGGTTTTTGTCTATTTGCACGAGAACTCACTGACAACAGGAGCTTAGAGAAGTTCCCAGCCTGGAGCAAACAGTTAAGTCACATAAATAATAAATTTATATTAAAATATGGGTTATATATTTTAGCCATGTCACTTATCAAGTTCTTTCCCACATACGCAGTTCACTGTTTTTCTCCTGCCTTAACTGTGATTAAAGTGCTGGCATGATCATCCCCATTCTAGTAACTAGTCCACATACTGTCCAGGCACTGTGGTAGCTGGGATGTCTTGGTGTGCTGTTTCTCTCAGGGAAAATGGGGATTAGACATTCATTTTAACATAGAATTGCCAGAGAGCCACTACCTCAATACATAGGAGTATATCTCAATACTGGGATTTGTGGGTACTTGGCAGGTTTGTATGAGATTCAGTCTTGAGCGAGGCACCATTCGGCAGTTTCCTTTTAATCTCACTGTGCAGAAAACCACCATCTTGCCAAGCCTGGTAGAAAATGGAACAGAAAGTGTTGAATTAATGGTGTGTTGCTCTGCCTCCCCACCTGAGTCAAATTATTCTCCAGGCTCAAGAAAGTCCAGTTAGAGTAACCAGGCGAATATGAGTATGGAGAACGTTTCCCAAATATTTCCATTGCCTTTTATATCTGAACTATTTCTCCTATTTTTTTTCTTTTTCAAAAATGTAGAATGCTTCACAAATTTGCGTGTCATCCTTGAGTGGGGGCTATGCTAATCTTCCCTGTATCATTCCAATTTTAGTACATGTGCTGCCAAAGAGAGCACCTATTTTTCCTATTAACCACAGGATACAGTTGTCTAAATTTCAGAGATAAGAAGAGGCCTCAGTGAGATCTAGCCCTAAAGCCAACAGTTCTATTTTTATTTTACTCACGGAAGGTCATCTTTGTTAAAAACGTTTTTTTCAGTAACACATCAACAGGTAGGACTCAAGGAACGGTCAAAACATTAGTGGGTTCTGGAACTTGTATCTTTCTCCTCAAATCGAAGCTGTGTCTGCAGAATAATTAACTAAAATGTCTATTTTTTTTAAAGTTTTTTACATAGAGAGTGTGTGTTTGCCAGAGAGAGAGACAGTGAGAGGAAAAGTGAAAAATAGTCCCCCAAGAGGGAATGGCCATGCCACAATCCCTTCTCCTCCATGCTCTTCCTGGGATTTTGGGCACGTATACAAACACACCTGACCTGACATGAGTTTCAAGCCGCTGGATCTGGGATTTGAATTACAGTCAGCCATGTGGGAGTTCTGTACCTTAACCATTATCCCGCCTGCTGATCCTCAAATGTTTGTTCTTAACCAACTCTTTATGTATGTATGTATGTATGTGTGTGTGTATAGATGACGGGGCCATGCAGACAACACAAGCTGGTAAAGAGACACGCAGAGGCTGGACCTCGGCATATAAAATGACTCACTTCTGAGTAGTCTAAGATAAAATTTAGGGTCACTCAGCTCTGAAAGAAGACATAGAAACACTGCATCCAGGAATAACTTCTGGTGAAGCTGGTCAGATGCCTTCATATATTTTGAACGGGAAACATGTTGGAACACTAGAGGGGACAGCCCTCTTTCTTCCCTGGAAAGACCCTGAATGACATTCTAGTCAATGTCTGATCCCCATGGCAGAGAATGAGGTATCTGTATCTGGGTCATAAACTGCCTGGGCTCGTTGACCTTGACTCCTGAGGTCAGCAAAGCAATCACTCATTCCATCGTTGCTGAGCTCCTTCTATACTCCAAGCGCTATTCTCCAGAACCAGGACTCGATGGTGAGCAAAACTAGGTGTGAACTTGCCCTCCTAGAGTTGATCATTTTGTTAAAGACAGATTTAATCAAATCATCTCACCTGTAAATATATGGTCAGAAATCCAAATAAGTGCCATGAAACCAAGAAATGGTGTTTGTAACAGGGGCTGATAGGTGACATGGTGGTTAAGTCCCAAACCTGGCAGTTTGCTTGCTCATTTTCCCTCTCTTTCTCTCTCTCTGTTTCTCTCCAGTTAACATAATAATAATGGTAAAAGAAAATGAAATAATTTTAAAAAAAGAAAGAAAGAAAGAAAGAAGTATTGCTATGATAGAACATGGGCAGAGGTTGACCAGTCAGTGGTGGGATTAGGGGTGGATAGACATCCAGGCAGAGGGAACAGCAAGTGCCAAAGCCCTGTGGTAAAAGCCACCCCTGCACCTTTGCACATATTAGAAAAATGCTATCAGCTCCTCAAAACCCTTTGCCTCTACTGAAAAATTATAATTCACTATTTTGTGTTAGAATAAGACTTATTTGGTTGGTCTAGAGAGATTTTTGCTATAAGGCTGTGCACTCACTGCAGACACAGAGAGATAGGAGAAAGAAGATGAGAAATCATCACCCAGGGGAGAGCCATGCTACAGCACCCTCCCTTCCATTCTCCTCTCAGGATTTTGGGCATGCACACACATGCACCCAGCGTGAATTTCAAGCCACCAGGACTCGAACCACAGATGACCATATGGGAGTCCAGCACCTCAACCACTATGCCACCTGCTGGCCCCTAGAATAAGACTTTTACTGCACACTTCCAGGAAACTGGTTTATAAAATTCTATATGATCTGAAATGTTAGTGGCACCCCTACACTGCACTATACCATGTGACTGGTCACATGTGGCTACTAAGCACTTAAAATGTGGCTGAAAATTCCACATATTGGTCTAGTTTCAAGTCTGGTTCCCTTACCCTTTTTAAAAAAAAAAGAATCATTCATTTGTATTTATTATTAATTTTTAATTTGCTATAGGGCATGCTATAGTGCTATGAGTACAAAAGACACAGCAGATGTCTTTGAGCGCCAATGTGGAAAAAACAGGACGTACAATATCCCAATTATTTTTAGGTTGATTACATGCTGAAATGATGTTCTTTGGATATATTGAGTTAAATAAAATGTATTTTTCATCTCACTTGTTTCTTTTTACTTTTTTTAGTGTGGCTATAAGAAAATTTCAAATGATAATATAATAACAATATCAACCTTACTAACTACATACCCGATACTGTGCCAAGTCACATTTATTAATATACATTAATTAGCTTATTTTCTCCTCTTAAAAACTTCATGAAATGGATAGAACTGTACCTATTGTACAAGTCTGAAAACTGATTCACACAGAAGTTAATGATTTGCCAAATCTGCTAGTAGATGCAGGAAAGATGCTACAAAAGAACTGGATGTGAAAGGGAGGTCTTCACTGTGACCCGGGTAAGGAGGAGCGGATGCACTCCCTTTGTGTACATGAACCCTAGGCTAGTGCACCTCAGGTGGATCCTGCTTCCTGCAGCCCTCTACCTGGAGAAACCTTTAAGGTGCCAAAGAAGGTGGGAGGAACACAGAAATATGTGTTCCTGGGAAGGAGGTCATTGCCTAGTTTTGACACAATCCTGGGAGCATTCTGCATGTTCTCCTTTACACAGAGGGAATTGGCTAAGTGGTAAGGGAGGGGCTAGCAGGTGGCATGGTGGTTACGGTGCTGGACTCCTACATGACTGACTGCGGTTCAAGTCCTAGACCTGGCAGCTTGCTTTCTTTCTCTTTCTGGTTAGCAAATTAAAATAATAATAATAATAATTAATAAAATTAAATAAATGATTTTTAAAAGAAAAAAAAAAAGTAAGGGAACCAGACTTGGAACTAGACCAATATGTGGAATTCTCAGGTTTTTATGTTGACGGGGCTCAGTAAAGTCATACCAGCTCTCAGGAGCTGTTTCCTAATCCATAGAACGAAAAGTGAAGACTGATGGTCTCTAACACCCTGATTAGCTCTAATCATCTGTAATCCATGAGGAAACACAGCCCATCAAAGGCTTTCTCTCACTACTGTGGAACCAATAAGACGCTGCGTTCTGAATTCAGAGTCTGTCCCTCAAACAATGCACCTCTGTTGTTTGACCATTAATTTTTTAAATTTATTTCCAGTGTGAAAAAGGGAGACAGAGAAACAGAGAGACACATATCCCTAGCAGGGTCCTTACACTGCAATCTGCCTCCAGTTTTAGCTGGCTCAGATCCCAGCTCCCACACACATGCACCTGGCATGCTCAGGGAGGTCCCAGGACAAGAACCCAGGACCTTTCCCACGTGGGTCCCGTTGTTACCTCTAAAACACTACCTGGTCCTAAATACTTTTGAATCCTGAAACATATCTTTTTTCATTAAGAAATGAATCATACAAGGCCAAGTAGGTGGTATGATGGTTAAGGTGCTGGATCTCACATGGCCAATGCAATGATTTGAGGCCTGGACCCAACAGCTTGAAAGTCACACTAGATACATGTCATGCATGCCCTAAATTCCAAAAGGAGAATGGAAAACAAGGGATTTCATTGTGGCTATCCCCCCTGAGGGGTGATATTTCAGTTTACCTCTCTGTCTCTTTTGTGAGCACACATGCCCTACGGCAAAAATCTTTAAAAAAAAAAAGAAAGAAAGAAAGAAAGAAGGAAATGAATGATTAAAAATAAGGAGAATTACTGGACTCCCACATAGTTCACAATGGTTCAAGTCCCGAACCTAGCACCTTAAACTCACACCGGGCGTGTGTGTGTGTGTGTGTGTGTGTGTGTGTGTGTGTGTACCCAAAAATCTCAAAAGAAGAGTGGAGAAGAAGGAATTACAGTATGGCCATCCCCCATAGGGAGTGATTTCTCACTTTCTGTCTCTCTAGTACTTACCCTACAGCAAAAATCTCTCAAAAATAAGTAATTAATAAATAAGGAGAATTAAGTTCTGGAGCTAGCTAAGACACTATTTCCTTGTTTGATGTTGAATCAATACTTCTTGCTCTTTCCATTTCCAATGTGTCAAGTGGGAACCACATTCGAATGGAATGAGGTCATGAATTGGGCACAGACACACTCTGAAGAGGACAAGGTTTGGCACGACTGTACGATTACTGCCATTTTAACTGTTCATTTATCACATTGAACTGCCCAGATTTAATATAAAGGGCAATTACAGTTCAGGCCTATACCAGCTGCCCTCTAAGCACTTCACACTTGTTAGGCCATTAAAACTTCACAGCAGTATGAGACAGGTGTATGTTTGTACTCATTTTACAGTCGGGGCACAGAAGAACAGACCCTAATACACCTTCCCAAGGGCACACAGCCGCCAAGTGGCCAGGCAGGCCTTCAGATCCACACACAGCATGGGGTTTTATGTTTGTTTGTTTCTTTATTTTCTTAGTTTTTTGGTATAGGGCATATACACTCATCAGAGAGAGAGGGAAAGTGAGAAATCACCCCTGGGGCAGAGAGCAGGAGGGATGGCCATGCCACAATCCCTTCTCTTCTCTCCTCTTAGGATTTTGGGCATGCATATGCTCAGTGTGCTTCTCAGGTCTGGGACTCGAACCACAGGCTAGTCAGGAGGGATCAAACACCTAAACCTTCACATCATTCGCTGGCCACACAGTATGTTCTTATACACTCCTCTCAGTCCACATGGCTCAGCGCTCCAATGCCAAGTATGTATCTATGTTCCAACTGCTAGAAAAAGAAAGGAAAGATGATCTGAAGATAAATTAGAATGCTGGAAAGTATACATTTTGAAGTATTCAGAAAAATGGAAACTAGTTTGCTCATTATTTCTATGTATTGGTGACTTAAAATGAAGGTCATTTCAAGATCTCCAAAGTAAGGGCTGGCAGGTGGTGTGGTGGTTGAGACGTACTCCCACATGGCTGATCGCAGTTTGAGTCTTGGAGCTGGTGGCTTGCTTTCT